TTATCTTCTGCCCATTCTCATCTGTGAGAACATCTTAACAACTCCAGGAAGAACAGAGCACACTATGATAACAGCTGTTCCGGAGGGAGTTGCAGTTGCAGTAATTTAGGTACCCAAAAGCCTTACTTCTGTTAGAGATATGTAATTACTGGGGCAGACTTTAGGTTTATACAGCACAAAAGTTTAGCAAGAGATCCAGATTATCTTGTTATACTTCCATTGATACATTTTTGTTTGTCGCAATAACAAGAACCATCTGGCAAATGATGCAGGCAAATCTTGATAAATATTCTAAATACGGTTAAAACGCATGGCTTTGTCTTAACTCGCACTGGATAAACATAAAAGCCAATGCTAGGACTTTCTGCCTATGTAAAGGTAAACTGAGTCCACGGGAGTTGCTTGGGACTTATATGCATAGTACTTTAGTTCTAAATGCTGTTGAAATATGTTGCTTCTTCTCTTCCTCCAGCTTCTGAATACCTATACAAATAATTTTTAAAAGATTCTCTGCCATTTAAAACATGAGCAAGCCTAAAACCTTTAAAAATAACTTGTATTGCTACAAATGTCAATGCCTTCTAATACAGAAAATGAGAGACCTGTCAGCACAAGGGAGATTTAGGAGGACAGATATTATCTTGTGAGCTGGTGGAAGGACACCAAATGTCTATTCAGCCACTCTTGTCACTAGAAGAGCAGGACACGCATTGCAGGTAAATTTGATCTCAATTTGCATCTCCTTCTAAGGATCAGTGCAAACAGCTTCCATGTGTCTCCTGTTCTCTTCATAGTCCTTGGCCTCTGTGCTTGTGATCTGTACAGTCTGTGACAGCCTTGCTTCTGCTGAAACAGATTTTATATAGAGAACTAACAGTGAACAGTTTGGTTAAGCACATTGATAGAGCAGGTACTAGAGGTCTGCTGAAGAACTGACATCTGAAAGGAGCTTACTCTCTGTGCCTTGCTGGATGAAATAAAACAGAGTTCTTTCTTGTCCACGCATTTCAGTATTGTATATGACAGGATTTCCAAAATCTTACTTGGTTCTTCAGATACATACACACAGTAGCTGTTGAATAGACCAATAGACCACAAAAGACGAGCCTATGGAAACTGAGGCTCTTTCTATCTGAGGGAAACATCAAGATGATCAGGTGAAAACCCTTATTTTGCCTTTCAGAAAACCTATGCCAACCTTACTTTCTGCAGCGTGTGCCTGGCAGTATGAATGACTAGCAGTACTTGATTTCATACAAAATACTGTCTGCCTGCTCTCTTCTTTTATTCAATACTGTATTAAATTATGGTAAAAAGTTATGAAAATATCACAGCTGTTTTTTAGAGTCTTCCAGACAGCATCATCACAGAAGGGGTTATTGTCCTCAAAAAGTTTTGCTTTTTTTGAGGCCTTGTTTGTAAAAATTAAAACCTTCCCAAGGCAGCTTAAGCAGTACAGGAAGAAATCACTTGAAAGAAACAGATCTCTGTTCTTTTGCTGGTGAGCTCAATCACTTGGAGCATGTTTGCTTGGTCTGGATTTTTTCCCCACATATTCTCTGCTTCAGAACCATAGTATGGAGTTCAAAGACAATCTTAATAAATTTATCATAGCAAGGTGGGGTTTTTTTTCCAGTTTTAAACAGACAAAAAAGCATGGAAAATAATACTTTTATTTGTACAGTAGGCTTTTGACTACTGTTTTTTACTAGATAATGTTTAACTAGGTGTGTGTAAGCACAGAATGAAGAATCAGTAGCATGTTTTATCAAATGGAGTTGTCAGCTTAAAAATTCTACTAATCATTGTTTTATGGGGCCATATTACCTTGTTAATTAACATTACTGACTTAGTCTGTGGTTTCAGCAAGGAATTGTAATTAATTCATTTTGAAGTGGTGGAGAATTGATAGTGCTTCTAAAAAATTGCAATGTCATGATTACAGAAGTGAAGATATTGCAATAAATCTACAGACTTAGAAGAAAGAATCTTAATCAATACCTGTTGGCCAAACTCAATTTTAATGCAAGGCACCTTCCAACTCTGCCAAATTACAATGGTGTAAATTTTCTAGAAAGAAGAATAGATTGATTTGCATTGCTAGTGAATTACTGATTACTTAGGCATTACAGGTATATGACATACAGTATAAGTTTCAGTAATTCCTACACACTTTGAATGTTGCTGAAGTACCTTAGATTTAAGAGCTTTGTTGAATAGCTCTGTGATTTCTCATGTGTTAAAAATTAAGCATGTGAAAAAGAGTTTTGAAGAATCAGGGCATAATTTTCCATAATGCCACTATTGATTTCTAAGGGTCTAGTTAGGGAGAAAAATCCACTTATCTAGAGTAAAGGGTGGCAGAACTCTGCCTAATATATAGAATTTTTTCAAAAGGCACTGTTTTTTTATAGCCCTTGACAACCTAAGATTGTTCCCTATAATGTTGAATTCTCTGGTTTTTAGCACTGTATTTAATTTAGTTGTAAATGATTCAAACTGTGGTGCTTTTCTCACTTCCCCAGTCTATATTATAAATCTGAACGTGTATGTGTTCGCTTGGTATTGCTCAATAAAACAAATAACAGCAGGCCTGAAAAAGATATCAGAAAACTACTCATTCTTAATTCCTGTGAATGATTGTTCATTTCAGTGTTATGTTGAAGTATGTAATGATTTCTGCCAAAAGAATTTGAGGTTGAATTTGATTAATGAATACCATCATTTGCTGATGGCCCAAAGGAGTTGTCTTTACCTAAATATTTTTCCAGAATGGGCACTTGTAAAATTAGATTAAGCACTTCTGTATAGTATCTATTTCAACTCCTAGACAAGTCACCCTTTTATTCAATTAACATTACTATTCCAAGCTTTACCAAGTAATTTCCCGATAATATACTATAGACCCATTTCTCTGGCTGCAGCAATCACCTTCTGCAAGAAAATCAGCTGATAAGAAAATAAAACAGAAATGTGTTGACAATAATATGAGACCTAAAATGAGCGTGTGCATTTTTGTAAGATGAATTCTTAGATGTTCTTGAATTGTGTTTTCCTAATGAGTACCATGGGGTATTGGTCAAAATCATCATGTCTTAATTGTTGGTATCATGAGAACAGAATTACTCTTCCTATTTTTATTTTCCCTTTTTATGATTTTGCAGTTCAGCAGTCTAAGCTTAAAAGGAAAACAAATATGAATTAATTTTGCCAAGTGATTCTAAAACTCATTTTAATTAGTCCCTTATACTCTACAGTTAACCTTGATTGCATTCCATATTTTAGGCTTTCTTGCTTTGTATAATGAGGAATACGCCCTACTAATAATGTTAGTAAAATAGAAAAATAAATTGATACATTTTTCTACATTAACAGTGCAGTTTATTTTTCGAAACTCCTGTGATCAAAAAGTCTTCATATGTCAATTTTGCTAAATTTTGCCATCTACCTCTGTGTAACTGATTACATTTCTTGATTTAAGGATTAAGAAGTGTCCTGGGTTAAGCAGTAGCAGTCATTTTTCCCCTTCTTGGTAGCTGGTGTAGTGCAGTGTTTTGACTTTCAGCTCGGGAACAGAGCTGATAACAAGGATGTTTTGGTTTGGCCAAGGACTTTGTGAGCCTCATGCTCTGCCAGGGGGGAGGGGAAGCCAGGAGGAAGCAGAGGCAGGACACCTGACCCAAACTGACCAAAGAGGTATTCCATACCACAGCACGTCATGCCCAGGAGGTAACTGGGAGTGAGCCGGAAGGGCTGGGAGACAGGTATCGGTGAGAGCTTGGTTCATCGGTCGGCTGGTGGTGAGATGATGTATTCTCTTCCCTTGTTATTTCCTTTATCATTATTATCATTGGTGGTAGCAGTAGTGATTTGTGTTATACCTTAGTTACTAAACTGTTCTTATCTCAAAAATTCTCCTCTCCGTCCCTCCGAGAGCAGGGGGAGGGCAAGAAAAGGGGGGGAAGTGAGCGAACGAGTTACCTGACTGGGTTTAAACCACGACAAGAAGTCAATGAAAAAGCTACCTGAGCTGGAAGACGAAGTCAGTCTTAACAAAACACTAATCTGTGAATTTCATTACATCTGAGCCTGCTTACTGTACCTGACTGTTAAAATTTAAATGCTTGATGTATAACAGATTACAAAATTTAAACAAAATCTATCTTGGTTTATACAAATACATAGATCTTGGAGCTCCTGCAGATAGAAAATAATGTCACAGAGATACATTAATTCCCAAATAGGGAGATCCTTTTCCCCACTTATGTCCTACCTGGTTTAATATCTTACAGAGCTTTGCAATTGCAGATCCCACCCTTGGACTGCTGCCTTAGAAACCCATACAAATTTTGGTTTGTAGTTCTGAGAGGAACTGTATTAAACCCATCATAATTGGTCAGTTTGTGTTTTATTTCTGAAGGGTTTTATTCATTATATGTGAGCCTTAAGGTAAGAAAGTCCTGATTTAAGAGCTAGAGTCTCCTTTATAACTACTTGACTCTGCAAGAGGTCCTTAGCCAGTGCTGGGTGGTTCAAGACAACTGTGCAGTGTGAGTCATGCCAGGTGACATTTTTTTCAGACTCCTTCAGTGGTCAGACCTTCCCTCTAGCATCACACAAAAACAGTGGACACAGCTGGTACAGACAATGGTGTTGGGTTCTCATGGTAAAAGTCTTCACAGCTGAACTTTGCCAAAGTTCTCATGGATGATTGGCACATGAACCCTATGGGGAAAACATCTGCTCTTCAAACCAAACAGGATTACCATAGAGCTGTTGCTTTCTCAACATACAGTCCATAAAATGGAAGTTGGGTAAAGTTTATGGTTTGTTAGTTCATCTGTAGTTTGCATCTTTTCTTTCAGAATTATTTAACGTGTCCACCTCCATTCTCTTTTTCATTCTCAGGAAATTCCAATTTGCTTATCAAGTTTTCTCTCTCTCTCTTTTCCTCTTTTCTCTTCTCCCCCCACCCCACCCTCTGTTTCCCTTTCATCTAGATGGAATGCCATTTGCTTGGTGGGTTGGCCGTGCCAATGAAAAGCATCTTTACTGGGGAGGATCTCTTCCAGGCATTCAACAGTGTGCATGTGGACTGGAAGAAAGTTGTCTGGATATGAGATATTTTTGCAACTGTGACGCAGATAGAGAAGAATGGTAATAAATTTCATGTGATTATAGTTGTATCTGTGTGAGAGGTGGGGATAGGAAGTAGGGCAAGAAAGCTCAGGAAGCTTGAATGGCTTGAGTATGGTCAAATGAAAATGAGATTCAAACTAGAATTTAGACTTCTGGTTTCATCTCAAATTGCTTATTTGAAACAAAGACATGATATCTGGCTGAAGCAGGTTGCTGAGATGGGTTGTTTTAAAAAATTATTTGCTGTTCAATGCCAAATCCAGTTGATCTATTTATTTAAAAGTTTCCATTGATTCAGCTGGAGCATTGCGTGAATAAAGGCTCTAGGAGGCTTGTACATGGATATACACCAGAGTAGGAAATTCAGGCGTAGACAACAAAATTCAGGTACAGACAGCTAAACAACAAGAAATCTGCTCTATCAGAAAAGTTACATTGGGTCCCAAGCATTTTAAAGTCAATGGAAAGACTTCCTTTAGTTTCTGTATGCTTTGGCTCAGTGTCCATAGGAAGTTTTTAGATTTACAGCATGAACATTCAAAGTCTTCCTTGGGTTTGGACCTTTGTGGTCTGCTGCGTGAACTTATGAAAGCACCCTCGCAACCTTCTTCCATCATCTTTACCTTCAGAGACTGTCCAGCAGCTGAGAGCTAGTTGGTGAACTTTCCAATTAATTCCATATTTGTGTTGAAGGGGACAGAAATGTCAGATGAGTGTTGTTAAAAGTATAATTTGAAACACTGAAAATGCACGTGAAAACTCTGCTTCACCCTGTCTCATTTCTGGACTCACTGATAGGAGCTGCTGCCCTTTCTCTAGAAATAAAGATATTTTAACCTTGAGTAGTACGGAAATTACAAATAATGGATGTAGACAAGAAATGCCTTGCTGTAGCAGGCTACTGTGTTTGAAATAGCAACCGAATTATCCCTGTGAAACCTTCACTTAAAAGAGAATGAGCAGAAAGGAGCTGTAAGGGGTCTTAAAACCAAAAAAGTAATTCAGAAATGACTTGTCACTGCGTGAGGCTTTTTTGGTTGCTTGATTTCCAGACAGTGTGATTATTCTCTTGGATCCTTTATATCCCTGGAGTCACTGTTCACTTTCAAAAATCACAGCCATAAGGGGATTTCTTCATGAAGATCATAATGTAAATGTTGGTTTATGAATGTGGTTTGTATAGATAACTAAAGAGGGGCCTGGCTGCGCATGTTAATCTATCTTTTCTTTAATGCTAGGTTATCAGATGCATTTTGGTGAGGTTTGCTCATGAACATGAAAAGCATCTGTTTTTACTGGGGCTTGGCTGTTTTCATAATCCAGACTTCACCTTTCAGTGAGCTACTAAAGTGGAGCAGGGTGTGTTATGTTGGTACACTACTGCAGTTGTAGTCTGACATTGACGAACAGTGCACTACTAGATTGTAGTAACAAATGCAAGGTGAAAGCTAAATGCAGTTTTAAAATGTTTCAGCTGAGCCTCCAAAGGAAATCAGACCTAAACGAGTTATGCTGTGGATGTTTATCTCCATTTTCACCCCACACCCAATGATTTTGAACATCTTTAGCAGAGAAAGAGGGATCTCAAAAGTATTAGAAATTACACGTTTTATGAAAATTTATGCCAGGCTGAGGGGAAAAAGCCAATTAAAACCCACAAGAAGGAAGTTAAAGAAGCATACACTTTTATTAGATTTTGGAAAACCCTCATGGGAAAGAGATGTAGGAAGTCATGCTTCATTAGCTTGGCAGCACACAGAGCTACTTGTTTCTCCTCATTTCATGATAATAACAGGATATGCATAGAAATTTCCCCGGCTAAACTGCCTACTGTTTGTTGGTTTGGAGATTCAGGTGTTTTGTTTTGGTTTTAAATCCATTTGAAATTTGGACTTTGATAGTATTTTAAATTGCAGGTTGCCTTTTTAAAAGCTAAAAAATCTTGACCTTTACAAAGATTTTTTAAGAATTTTCATGCCTCTTGAAGATAGCTTTGTGTTTCTCTGCTAGAACACTGACCCCTGATACATAATGAGCATTTGTATCTAAAATCTGCTAAGATCTGAACTGTGACTTTAACCTGCTATACATTATAGTGAAAGGAGCAATACAGGAGTAGATGCATTTATTTGCCTTAGCATGAAATAAAATGGGTGCTGCAGAGTGGAAAACCAGAAAATCATTTTCACTCCTTTTACATAGATCAGGCTGCTCACTGCAGCTGTGAGGGAGGAATTGACCAGAATAGTTGGAGTGTCCTGAAGAGGAAACAGGCGTAGGTTTTTTGTTTGGTTTCCCTAGACTAAATCTTAAGTGCAGAAGAAGCTACTAATTTCTCAGAGTAGCAAAATAAATGGAAAATAGGAGAAAACAGACCTGAAAAAAGTCCTGAGCCAGGTGTTTGGCAGTACAAAATGCACATTTCTAGGCATGCTGAGTTTTAAATGATATCTAAGTAGACATCTGAGACAGCTGTTATCTCTGGGCTCTTACATGACACCAAGTTGATGAATAGAAATATATGTATGCTATTTGGGGAAGGCTTTTGTATTTTTCAGTTTTCTTTTTATTAAAGCATTCTAGTGAAAAGTATCTTTTTCCATCTAGCTACCCACCATACTTCCAAACCCTACAGTTTGATGACAGCTAATTTTGTCACTGCAGAATAGTGGAACATCTGAATTTTTTTTTTGGCTGGAGAATGGGAGAAGACCTCTGCTGAGGGAGCAGAGGCATAAGTTTTCACCCTAACCCAAGCAAGGGATCTGGAAAGGTGTTAAACGTGACATGACGGTAATGCATGCCTCCAAAAAGGAGAGATTCCTGACTGTTGAAAGGTCTTGCTAGTGGATGGGAAGATTTTAGAAATATAGAAATACAGTGGCCACAAGCTGAAGCTAAATCTAGTTCAGGAAATGTTTTTTTTCTCTCTTGCCCTTCCCCAACACTGAGAATAGTTAACTGTTGGAACAAGTAATGCAACATGGAGGCAAATAAAGCCCTCTTTGGATTAGTTATATTTGTGCAAAGATGTGCCAGAGCCAGGATGCTGAAACTGGAAGGGCTGAGGAGAGCAGGACAGAGAAACCCAGCCACTGAGAAGCCCAGATTTGACAGGTTTTGTTCATTCAGCAACTACCCTACACTGAATCCATTTCCCCAGAAGCAGTGGAGGCAGCTCATAAATAAACCCTGCTGGAGGTGACCTGGCTGTATAGAGCTGTCTTGGATATCTGCCTTCATGACTGCATTTGTCAACAAACTGGAAAATCTGCCTGCAGAGAGCTGACGCTAGCAGGCCCCTGAGGTGTCAGGAATCAGGAATCACTACCAAATTCTTTCTCTTTACCTATTCTCTAATTCAACAAAATATAGCCACTGCATCTTGCCTTCAACTGTTAGGTATGTCCCCTTCTGCTGCTGTTTTTAAATTTACTCTGTATTCTAGGTTATTGTACCCAGTAAAGCATTTTTGGATGCAGCTGGTGGGTAAGACAGCAATTAAAATTTATTCATTTGGATTATTAATGATACCTTCTGCATAGAGCACAAAACTTTTTTTCTGATGGAAGTCTGTTTCACTAGCCCTTTCCTCGTGTGGTTCATTGACATCTGCTGATGATAGTATTCTTTTCCCCTAATGTACTGTATTCATGAAAATCTGCGGTGAATATCTGAGCTACTGAGGCTCAGACCCCACCAGTTTTCATTAATGTACAAGAAGAAAGTGTACCAACAGGGGATCATGCAAGAATAAATTATATTTAATGGCACCACTGCTCTACTATCTGTTTAAAATATACAGACACAGCTACCTAGAGATTACCAATTTACAATAGTTTATACTGTTAGGATACCATAGAGTGAGAACTTTTTGACCATGCTTTTATAAGTAGCCAGGAAAAAGACAAATAGTCTCCTAAGGTTACTGTCAAAATAGTTATTTGGCATTTACAGGTAAGACTACCTGTGCTACATCTTAAAGGAGCCAGTTGCTGCACTATCACTGCACTATCATTGCTGCATTTGCAGTGAATTTTTTTTTCCTTTCCCCCTCTCCCCAAACAAACAGAACATTTGTTTGATGTGTAACATGCCTCACAGCTTATTGAGGAAGGCCTTTGGGTAGATACAGACATTAATCCTCAGACATGGATAAATAGATTACATGCAACTGTATTTAATACCCATAACTAAAAATATTTCAGTTTTTTAATTTAAAGGGCATTATTGGATTTGTTTTGTTTGGGTTTTGCTTGTGGGAAGTACAAATTGATATCACCCTTTATGCAAAGAGTTCAGAGAAACATCTGTTTCTTGAGGGTGCTTTCCACCCTCTGAAATATGTTCAGTTTTTCATCTAATTTATGCCAAATTGAGTACCAAGTTAGATAAGCAGAAAGTCTACTTCCCAAGTTTATTAATATATTTATACCATTTTCTGCATGTACAGGACTCCTTTCAGGAATGTGATAAAACCTGCTTTGATTTTTGTGAACTCGGGACTTAACTTTACACTCCTGGTCAAGGAGCAGCAGGACCAACCTGTAATTCTCAATACTGAGAAGCAGGGCATAGCATGGTACAAAAGGCATGCTTGGTGGAAGTGGCTACAGAGTGCTATGTGAAACCTGCTAAGAAAAATAAAGTAATGGTTCTGGCTAACCAGAGAAACAGCTATGGAAAACCAAATAGAATCTAGTTTTAAACATATGTGAACTGCTAAATTAAAATACATATAAGTAAAAACTTTTTATTTGAAAACTGTAGTACAGTCAAGTGATCTCCAAGCCCCCTTCAGGAAAAATTCCAAATGCTTTGTCCAAAATGTGGAACATTTGTATTTTGTAGTGCCACAGCAGTGCCTCTGGGATATTATTTTACAGGTACACAGTCCTCTCTGAGGCATAATACACTGTATTTGAGAGGCTGCCATTGAGCACCAAGTAACGGGAAGAGGAATTGTGGTGCTTTGCAAGAAATGGAGTCTGAAATAAGTTTAACTTCAAGAATACCAGGAATTTAAAACACTCAAAATTTAGCTCCTGTGGGGGCCTGCATCGTGTTCAAACCTCTTTTCTGCTTTTCTTAGTTGAAACTTCCTGACTTTTTTATCAAAAACTCGATTTCCCACCATGAAATAATAATAATAAACTGCAACAATAGGTACATTGTTCCTGTCACAAACACATTCCTTGAAGGGCAGAATGTTTTCCTGAGAGGTTTTGTTTCAGTGTCTGCTTGTATGAGAATATCCTTACACAATTCTTTTCTATCACATGTGAGAGGATAAAATACATAAAATGCACTGTTTGAGATTCAAGAGAAACTTGATTGAGTTTTCAAGGCATTAACATAAAAGTGAATATTTTTATTAGTTCTAGAATATTTTTTTTTCTCACAGTTGAGCTACGTTACTAAAGTTATCTGTGATACTGGCATATAACTAGTAAAAACTCTGAATCATAAAATTCTATGTAAAAGAACTTCATGCAATATAACAGAATATCCAATGAGGAATGCAGTTCTCAGAGTTGTGGAATAGATCCCTTTAAAATGTCACCATTCATTTTTTTTTGTAGCTATCTTCAGTGGTAGCTGTAGAAAGATACTGACTTTTAATGCTAATCATAGCTAGTCAAAAGACTGCACCATTTTTTGAATGAAAATAAATTTGCAGGGAACCTCGAACCTCCTTAAATATTTCGTGGATTTTTTTTTTATTATTTTATTTTTCTAAAGCAAATGCCAGCTTACTTATTCACGTATTTGTTGCATATTTTGTATCCTTTCTGTGCATCTTTCTGCCTTTTATTCATTCACATTCTTCTTACTCCCACCTACTGAAACACCTTATTTAATTATCTTCCTAAGAAATAAATAGTTCAGCTTTTGTTTCTACTGTTTCATGATCTGTTGAGAGCATTTATACTAACTTTCAAAGGCTGATACAATAAGCTATATAAGTATGCTGCTGAGAGACCTCCATGAAGAGATTTGGAAATCATGTACTTTTGATTCATACTTAGCACTTTTTCTTCTGAGCGTGTACTGAAGGCATCACTCTGCCTTGTGCCTGGGAATTTCATCTGGCTGCATTTTGTCTGTGATTTTCTGCATATCAGACACCCGCTGAAACAAGAAAAAAATGGTAGCATCAGAGAGGGTACCTTTTGTTTTCCCCTTGGAATTATGAGAAAATTAACTGTGCTGCATGCAATTAGAAACAAAGCAAAATGAATAAAATGTATGCAACCTTTATAAAAAATATCAAAATATCCCTTCTATTTTTTCTAACATTAAACAGGGTAGCACACTTAGCCAAGCAAACATCTGAAGTTGTATGTCATAGCACAGCTGCAGTGTTCTTCCTGATTATTATTTCTTTGCTGAAGTCCTGTGTCCCTTCCCATAGCTAGAACTATAATGAGAGGTATGTTTATGGAAGGTGTTATTACGCGCAGCATATAGGTAGTCTGGGATCCTGCCTGGAATGTCAGACTCTTTGGCAGAGGTATCACTCAAAAAGTGATACCTGTTTCCTGAGGCTTTTTGTCATAGCTGCCTGAAAGAGCAGTGGATGTAAATTTGGGATTATTGCAGAATGTAGTCTTTGCCTCTGAGCAGACAGGTGAGTTGAGTCCAGACCCTGCATACAGATTGCTAAACCATGCAGATGTAGGGATCTGTTTCTCAAAAACTATTGAGATTCAGCTCCATTAAGGATGTGCTGCCAAGCCCAGGTACAGCAGACCTCAACCCTGAGAAAAAATGCTAGGAGGAGGAAAAACTCATCACTGCAGAGGTAAGATATGGCAGTACCCTCCTCTCTGTAATCTGTCAATTGATAGAGGAGTACCTCAAGAGGGCAGTTTGGTTCTGGTAAGGTCAGGGTTGTATGCCTGAGGGACTCAGTTCAGTTCATGAAGTACAGTGGGATGAATGCATATCTGTATACCCTGCCAGAGTCAAAGCTGCTGAATCAGCTTAGGGAACAACAGCTGCCATGAAATGCTGTGCTTCATTTTGAGGACAGCAATTTGCCCAGCACACACAGAGTGAAAATAAAGAAATTATCCTTTAGGAATCTCTTTTTTCCTCTTCCTTTCTAGCAGCCATGTGTAAATTAGTCTAAGCTGAAGAATAAGCACAGCTGACACAAACAAGAGACTGTAGTTCAACAGTGCTGTAACTCAGCCTTCAGTATTTCAGTTGCTGAACCAAAAGTCACAGAGGCACGTAATGTGAAGGGCTTATTCAGTCTGAAATCACTCTGCCAATCCAACTTTGCAGTGTGCTGAGTCAGTTGTGTAGCAGCCATCTTGCTGTTGGATTGGATACTGTCTGGCTGCCCTGTGCTAATTACATGCTGGATCTGGTATTGTGTCACCTCTTCTTGCTCAGGCAAAGCATAAAGCCAGCATAGATGTCATTATTTGTCTTCAGCTAACCTAACAGAAATTCAAACTTGGTCTTAAACCTGATCCACATCAAATTCATTCTGCTGAGGAAACCCAGGAGAGCCTCATTTACGTTAATGCCCATCAGGCAGAATGGCATCACTCTGCATCAGCTTCACAATCAGTTGGCACAGCTGAAACAGTTATAGTCCATATCTGACATTATCATATATTCAAATACAGTGTCTTCAGTGGCCAGAATTATGTATGAGCGTAGAACATACACATGCTGCACGTATGTGTCTTAAGCAGTGTGTGCCAGTCACAGTTCTAGGCAATTCTGCAAACGACCTTCCATCCTTAAGTAAGCATTTTTCAAATACAGCCTTGCATAAGGAATGCTGGGGATTTTGTCTGTGGTTAATCTGTATCCTTCTATTTATTATAATCCAGGACAAATGACACTGGCCTCCTTGCTTTCAAAGACCATTTGCCTGTAACTCAGATAGTGATCACTGACACAAACAGATCAAATTCTGAGGCTGCTTGGAAAATTGGCCCTTTGCGTTGCTATGGAGACAGTGAGTAGTCGTTCTTCTCAATTTCCATAGGTACAGAATGTTCCCTCGTTTTGTTTTGTTGTATTTGTTGGGTTTGGGTTTTTTTTTAATGTATTTATCTGATGAAAGGTGGCTTTTCCACATGCAGCTCACAGCTGCTGTCCTGCGCCAATTAACTATAGAGAAGGGCGTTGTGCTTTCAGGGCAGTTCTGGAATGCTGCTTCTTTCAACACGGAGGCCTCCTACCTGCACTTTCCCACCTTCCATGCCGAGGTCAGTGCAGACATCTCCTTCTTCTTCAAAACTACTGCTGCCTCTGGGGTATTCTTGGAAAACCTTGGGATTAAAGACTTCATACGAGTTGAAATAAGATGTAAGTTTCACCTCCAAGAAATCTTAGTGTATTTGCATGGTTTGGCAGGTGCAGGGAAGTGGGAAGGACATATTTTCTTCTGCCTAGGAATAGTGGGAGATGCCTGAAGAGGATAAAATGGAGTCATATAGACACATTAATCTAGACTTATCTACATCTCCTGTCAAAGTTTCCATCCAAAGTGACCACCTTGGTCATTACACTGAATCTAGTTATAGCTAGGTTTGTCTTTCTTAACCAAAGAGGTCACTGAAATTACTTTTTCAATTACTTTTTTTCTCCCTCTTTAAGAAAAAGGCTACTGATTAGATGTACCTGTAGATTGTAATTCTAGTTGAAAAAAACTACTTGAAAAATTTAATACAGTCACTCTGATATTTACTTTTATTTCTGTATAGTAACATACCCAGTCTGATACAGCTCTAGTGTTTCAGAGAACTTGGTGTGTGTGGTACAGCTGTGAGGCGAGAGTCTATGAAGGACAGGATGCTAATGCAAGATAAGTGAGTAACAGTTCTAATGGGCCTTGAATATTTCAAAATCTAGTAAGTGACTGAAATATAACTACTGCTCAATCTATAAAGAAGAGCAGCAGGGAACTTAATTAGTGAGGTTTTGCCTCACTCCTGTTTTGATGACTTCAAAAACTTATTAGTTACAAAACAGTACTGTGGGTTTGACATGAAATGTGATTTCTGTATTCTAAATTCTGTTAAGCTTAGGAAAAACAAACTGAGCGCTATGCATTTTACAAGATGCTTATAATAACCCAAATATAAAATTTAATAAAACAAGGCCCCAAGGCCCTTCAATTCATTAAAAAATGCTAAATGCCATGGTGTGTTATCACAAGGTAATGATATATGATTTACTGTTAATTGCACATCAAAGTCCAATTCGGTTGTACTTTAGTGTATTGCATTTCATTCTCAGGGATATAGAAGTAAAACAACATTTTGATATCAAATATTACAAATACTGTAAACTACTAAGAGGATTGTTTAGTGAAAGCTTTTATATGTGTGTTAAATGTCTGCTCCTAGAAAAATGAGTTCTTAAAAGTCTGGGGAAAGTCTTTTAAATATAGGTTTCTTATTAGTAGTTTGGTGTTGTGTTTCTTGCTTCCAGATGGAATTTGCAGCCTAAAGGCCTTGTATCAAAGAAGCTGCACAGACCAGCTGCTTCATAGGAAAATGGCCTTTTAGCAGATGCAGGGGCTCAGAATAGATCTTTGTATATCCCTATGGAGTGTTTTCTATCTTAACTATCTAAGAAGCAGCTTCAAAACCAGGCCTATCCAATTTGTTGGGCTTGAAATAACAGTTTTTTATCAATTTTCAATCCACAGCCTTCTGGTTGTGTGGTCTGTGGACCTGGGTCTTGGTCTTTCTGGTATATTTAGTGTTTTAGGAAGAGGAAAAATAGTCAGTTGCATGAATGTTAAAAAGTTCTGTCTCCTTTCAGGCTTCCGACAGAGGGAATCCTCCCTATATGGATGTTGGTTTTCAATTATGGTCCTGTTTCTAGGAGCCCCACTATCTCTGGATATGTGTTACGGATGCCTTTTTAGTTTTGGATCACAAAAAAAAAAAAGGTCCAGCTTATTCAGGCAAACAAATGCTTCTAGGATTCTCTTCTACTATATGCAGCCAAGTTCTGTAATTGTTAAGTACATGCATTTGGAAAGATTTAGGCAGAAAGAGTTCCCTTATCCTTTCTTTCATCTTATGGTTACTTGTCAAAAATCTTTTGCTACCATTGTGTGACTTCTGTACAGCGTTTGGCACTTTTTGAAGTAAAAGAGAGCTAGTATTTCTAGAGCACTGCATTTGTTATAGCAAAAAAAAGATGGGTACACACAGCCAAGCATAATCACAGGAGAGATCAAACAGTGAGGCTGCAGGCATAGATTTATGTATAAGTTGCTGTGTAGATGGGAGGTAAATGATGCTGTACTATTTGCTGACATAAAAGTTAATGGACCCTATACTTATGTAAGATTTCTTGATGTCAAAACTGTAATTTAATTCAGACCTTCACTTCCTGTTCATACCTATTTATCTATTCCAGCTCCCAAAGAGATTGCCTTCTCCATAGATGTTGGGAATGGCCCCAGAGAAGCCACCGTGCAGTCTCCTGCACCCCTGAATGACAACCAGTGGCACTATGTCCGAGCAGAGAGGAACCTTAAGCAAACCTCTCTCCAGGTGGACAGCCTGCCCAAGAAGGTCCTGGAGGCACCTGCTGAGGGGCATTTCCGCTTGCAGCTCAACAGCCAATTATTTGTAGGTAGGCACCATGTAAGGGTTTCTGTAGATATTTCCATGTCCGTACCTTGGTAATGCTATTGTTTCATTGAGCTTGCATGTGGTGACCTATTGTTCTTTCTCTTCTTCCACTCCTGTCTAGGCAACATAAAGTAAATCCAGACTACTGAATTTACACTTAAAGCCCTAACCATAGCTTGACTATACTAGATGTATAATGTTTATAGTTGTATAGAGATGTTTATACTAGATGTATATGTTTAGGGTCTAAGATTGCTTGAAACATATTTATGGCCAAGGAATTCTAGTATTTTTTCTTGTGCAGCACTGAATCTGTAACTTGCTGTAGGAAATGTGATCTCTCTTTTTAGATGCAATGTAAAAGGCACAAATTCATCATAAAAACTTCTGGGGCAAAGGCTGATGACGGTGTGGTCTTAAAGTCTGTTCCTTCAAGCATGCGTGCCAAAACCCTTATTTGGCCATAGAGTGCATGTATGAGAGAAGTATGAACACAGTCATAGCAAATACAGTTATTTTAACTGAAGGCGACCTTTAAAACAAAACAAAAAAAAAATTCTCCATTTGCATATACTTTGTTTCTCTACCTCCCTTGCCAATGAAATCTAGATTGGGACCATCTTGTATTTCATAATATAATCAGGAATAACAAAGGGAATTTTGCTTTTTCTTTATTCAAACACTGTCTTTCTGAGTAATCTTCTCAGTGATGGAGTGGGTTGTAACCTGCTGCTTATTCAGGGCCACTAAAGTAACTACTGATTCTTTCCATAAAATGGATTTTCTTAGCTGAAATGCTACAGCAAATCTTGATCTGTCAATTCATTTTAATAAAGTTTACCTGTGTATCCACACCCTTTGATTTAAGAAGATTTTGGGGTATTTATTGGAGCTGTTTATTGTGCATGTGTGCAGTAATTATTGGGCTCTAAACATAAGGAATTAATCTGTTAATTAAAAGATACAGCTGCATCAATGGCCAGGACCCCTTCACACATAGATATTGATTTATTCCAAAAATGATCTCTGAAAGACTCAGTCAGAGGAAAGTTCACTGAAGAATTCACAGAAGAGAGGCTTAAGACTGTCACGGTGAAAGGTTTCTGTTTCCTGGTGTGAAGCATGCTGCTAATCACTTGTTTCTTAAATGCCAAAATGATGCTAAGAACATGTTCTATGGGAAGCCAGGCCTGAAGGCAATAGGGTTGAACTGCTAGACACTTCAGAAGCATTAGAGAAATCTAACCAAGGTACTGTTTCCAGTTATAAGATGTAGACAGTTTAATGACTGGATAGGCTTTTGTACATTTTTCATTGTGACTTTTTAAAGGAGTAAAAATGAAAGATTTATCATAAGTCACCAATCAGATATATCAGATATTTAACTGCTTACTATCTCACATCTGAAAAGCAGTGTTTACCTATAATCTTGGTTTTCTGCCTCAGCAAAATAAACAGGTTACCTGAACAAAATTGATGGTGGTTTTAAAGTGACACAATCAATGAATTGCATCATGGAAATCCATGACAGTTAAGGAACTCAACAGAGAAATGTGCCAACAGGAACACTTGTCAGCAAAGACATATGCAAAGCCCTGCACCAGGGACAGAATAGCATCATGTATCCCTATAAGCTGGGGATTGAGTGGATGCGTAGGAGCTGTGGTGCAGAAAAGGTCCTGTTGTTTTTGGTGCTGAAGTTAATCTGTACCTCATCTGAATGCAGCCATGCTTTGGGGAACAGGTTTGTCCAATGGATCTGCAGCAGTGACTTCCACCAAAATTTTTCTCTGATTGTACTTAATATTTACAGCAAACTCTAGGACATAGTTACTTTATCTCAGCCAAGAGGTGAAAAGTTCTCACTGTGCGCTAAATATATTGCATTCAATTGTCCAATCTACACTTTTACTGAACCCTGAAAAAAAGGGACAGAAAATCTAATGTTTTCAGGCGCGCTTTCTTCATCCCTTAGCTCTACCATACTGAAAGCCAAAATTGTTCATGACTTCAGAAGAGATGGAGACCTGGGCAGCCTCCTGATTCTGACACTGTCACTGGGTGCTCCAGGAAAAGGTGGCAGAAGTCCAACAACACACAGATGTGTCACAATTTGTCTCTAGTGATGGTCTCATTCCATTATCTAATAGGAAGCAACTGATTTAATACCTCAACCAGGTGGAATGAATTTTATCTATCTGAAAAACAAATGCGTAAACAGCATTGTAAAAAGGAAAGAAGCAGCAGCACATAATATTACTCCCTGCTCCCCCTATAATCCATAACATACTTGTTCCTGCTGCGTTCTGCACACTGACACTGATGAAGGGGTTTCCAATTTAAGTGATTCTATGTGGCAGGCTTCTGAGATAGCTTTCTGTGTGTGCAAAGTGGAAGGGAGAAATGACTTTTTGCTGCCAGCACACTCAAAATCAAACAAGCTTGGAATTTAAAGCAGCGTAGAAGAGTTAGAAAATCATTTCTCACTTTCTTTCAAAGGGTCTTGAGTATCTAACTTCTTTAGGCTGCTTTATGATCCTCAGTCACAGCATGGGTATCCTTGCAACAAGCTATGTTTCTTCTGTTAATTTTAAAAAATTGCAGTAGAAAGAGCAAATCCCAGGCAGACATAGAGGCTAGATAATATTGACTGCACCAAACTTCCCAGCAGCAGGCCAATTTGGCACATTACTGGCAGAATCATTCCTTTCAGTGGATGGTGGCTTTCAGCATTCAAAATGAGTGACATCTTTTTGAATAGTTTACCTGTCTCCCAGTATGTTCCTGTCCTCCTCGAGGAGGTGTGTCATCATCTCCTCTCACGTAGTGGAAAAGGCATGACCATAACACTCCAGTATGAGGAGGGGAAAAGCAGTCCTCGCAGACTTTTTGGAGAGCAGGATTTCCATTTAGACTGGTAACGTCAAAAAAGCAAAATACAAATCCTAAGAAGTTAATTTTATGCATAAAGCATTTGATCAGAAGTTTATGTGATATTTATTTTGTATGTTAAGGAGACTAGCAAAGTTAAGTGCTTAGGCTCCTAGTTTTGACTTGGGAGCAAGGGAGCAAGGAATTCTTAGGTGAATCACAGACCAAATGTAACATACTCCAGAGTTAACATCTGAGAAACTTTCTTGGGAACAGAGAAAAAGAAAGAGAGAAAAAGAAGTGGCATACTTTGTTTACTGTTGTTACTTTTAAAGGAGTCTGTAGACACTTAGGGATATTTTGGAGGCTAGGAGGAAGAATTAATCCTTGTGTGTCCTGACAGCTTTGTGCAGCTTTCAGTTTGAGACTAACAAGTGTGACTTAGATGTTTTCTGAGGAATATCACAGCAAGTTCTCCTACTCCTAAGTAATAATAATTATGATTCTTGTACTCCCATGCCCTTTCCTTTGTATCAGTTACGTAAATCCAGAATGCTGTTTCAGCCTCCCTAATCCAGTTCTTACCAACAAAAAGTCCTTTTTAAAGCAAATCCTCCATGCATTGATAGAATGTTAATTATTTAGCCAAATGTGTCACCAAGATATATTGTGAGTGCCCAGTTGTGAGCTTCTTGCTCCCTTCTCTGACTCTCTATTTCTTGCCCCAAGGCTTCTCAGTAAAATTTAGCTACATAAAACAGCATGGTTCATTTGACTGACAGCAAGAAACACCCTTAACCTCGGTGTTTATGGTCCTGAGGCTTATCCTAAAATCTGTTTTCCTGAACAAAACATTTAGGTCATATCCATTAAATTGTCCAGTCCAAACGGTCTCTTAGACTAGGAAGAATTTGTAAAGCCTAATTTGGGGAATAATTTTGTTTTGTTTTCATTTTTCTCTGATTCTCAGGAATGTATTTAAAGATTAGTTCTAATCAATTGAAGAAAACTGTTCAAATGCCCACATAATAAACAGATTTGTTTGATCAATACTGTGTGAATCTAGGATTATTTAGATGGTCTCCGTTAAGCCCCACACTCTCCAGACAGAAAAACTGAGAAACTTATTTTACATGGTTTACCAAAGTGCTTTAGAGAGCAGGAAGAATTTGGGTAGTGCAATAAACATGACACCTGGGAAATAGTTAGCAATAGTTTGTACTTATTCTCTAAATGTTACAGCTGGGATTTGTATATGTGCAGAGAGAAGAGGCAAGAAAACTGTCATTTATGCTTGTGATATTTGTGGTAACCTCCCATGCAAAAGAAAACAGAGTAGCTAGTAACCTTAAAGGGAGAAATCACACTTCTGCTTATTTGAACATTATTGGAAAATCTGTATGGTATGTTTGGCTTTGCAGGAAAATCTCCAAAGAAAATGATTGTGTGTGCACAGTGCGGCAAATGCAGAAGTTCCAATTCTTGTGCTCAGATGACCTTTAAAATAAGTGAGCTAACATTTTCTTACCTGAAAAGAATAGCTGGCTAAAGAGGAATTTGAGAGTATTTTTTTGTCTGAGAAAGGCATCATAAAATTAGCATGAAATAAACCTGTCTCATGCATACTACCTGTAGTTCAATTATTCTAATTCAAATCTAGTTTTCCTGCTATTAGTGTACCAGAAATTAAAATATACTAGAAAGGTATAGCAGAACAATAGGGATTTGGTAAGATTGCTTTTCAGACTGTTGCTTCATTTTCTTAGTTTGCAGAAGTCTTCCTTTAATTAAACAGTTTACAAAAAAAAAAAACAGATGCTCTTCTGCAAAGATTTAGCAATATATGTAAGCTCTTATCTCATGCATTTTGATATAGAACCAACTTCTACAGAAGAATAATTTGGAAAGATAGCTTCTTTCATACTAATTTTGTAGTAAAATCACCAATAAAGCTAGCATTTCAGAGCTACAAATGCTGATAACTTCTGAAGCAGAATTAGATTTCTTAGCAGCAATCAAAATTGCAGCATCTTCAAAAGCAAATCATTGGCAACTGCCAAACAAAGCCTACAGTAAGAAAAATGGTGATATTTTCACAGACTAACAATCATTATTAACATCATTCTCAGAGACCATCTCTTATGGAAAAAGTGTCTTCATTGTAACACTTTTAGCAATTTCATTGGGCAGAAAGGCTCTGACCACACCACCCAAGTCTTGGAAGGAAGATGCAGGGACTGCGAGAATGAAGACCTTGGGCCCACTGTAGGAGAGGATCTGGTTTGAAACCATCTTTAAAAATCTGAACAGGCACAAGTCCATGGGTCCTGATGAAATCCATCCGCGGGTCCTGGAGGAGCTGGCAAATGAAGTTGCGAAGCCGCTGGCCATCATATTTGAGAAATCATGGCAGTCAGGAGAAGTTCCCGACAACTGGAAAAAGGGAAATGTAACCCCCATTTTCAAGAAGGGGAAAATGGATGACACGGGGAATTGCAGAGCAGTCAGTCTCACCTCTGGGCCTGGCAAAATCATGGAGCAGATTCTCCTGGATGGCATGCTAAGGCACATGAAAAACAATGAGGTGCTTGGTGACAGCCAGCATGGCTTCACTAAGGGGAAATCCTGCCTGACCAATTTGGTGGCCTTCTATGATGGGGCTATGGAACTGATGGACAGGGGTAGAGCAGTTGATGTCATCTACCTGGACTTGTGTAAAGCGTTTGACACTGTCCCACACGACATCCTTGTCTCTGAATTGTAGAGACATCAATTTGATGGATGGACCACTCGGTGGATAAAGAACTGGCTGGATGGCTGCACACAAAGAGTTGTGGTCAATGGCTCAATGTCCAGCTGGAGACCAGTAACGAGTAGTGTCCCTCAGGGATCGGTGTTGGGACCGGTCTTGTTCAACATCTTTGTCACTGACATGGACAGTGGGATTGAGTGCGCCCTCAGCAAGTTTGCCGATGACACCAAGCTGTGTGGTTCGGTTGATACGCTGGAGGGAAGGAATGCCATCCAGAGGGACCTTGACACGCTTGTGAGTTGGGCTGATGCCAACCTCATGAAGTTTAACCATGCCAAGTGCAAAGTCCTACACCTGGGTCAGGGCAATGCCAAGCACAGCTACAGGTTGGGCAAAGAAGAGATTCAGAGCAGCCCTGTGGAGAAGGACTTGGGGGTGTTGGTTGATGAGAAAATGAACATGAGCTGGTTTCAGTGTGCGCTCGCAGCCCAGAAAGCCAACCGTATCCTGGGCTGCATCAAAAGGAATGTGACCAGCAGGACGAAGGAGGTGATCCTGCCCCTTTACTCTGCTCTTGTGAGACATCACCTGGATTATCACGTGCAGTTCTGTTGTCCTCAAAATAAAAAGGACATGGAACTGTTGGAACAAGGCCAGAGGAGGGCCACGAGGATGATCAGGGGACTGGAGCACCTCCTGTATGAAGATAGGCTGAGAAAGTTGGGGCTGTTCAGCCTGGAGAAGAGAAGGCTGTGTGGAGACCTCATAGCAGCCTTCCAGTATCTGAAGGGGGCCTATAGGGATGCTGGAGAGGGACTCTTCATTAGAGACTGTAGTCTCTCGGACAAGGGGTAACAGGTTGAAACTTAACCAGGGGAAGTTTAGATTGGATATAAGGAAGAAGTTCTTTCCTGTTAGGTTGGTAAGGGACTGGAATAGGTTGCCCAGGGAGGTTGTGAATGCTCCATCCCTGGCAGTGTTCAAGACCAGGTTGGACGAGGCCTTGGGTGATATGGTTTAGTGTGAGGTGTCCCTGCCCATGGCAGGGGGGTTGGAAATTGATGATCTTAAGGTTCTTTCCAACCCTAACTATTCTATGATTCTATGATTCTATGATTTTGTAGAGATGGAACTGCCCTCTTGGGTAGACCATCTTATTCTTTAGGAAGAAATGTGATTATGTTTAACAATTGTAATAAATAACAGAACTGTGACCTGAACATGTTTCTTACCTACAACAACCATTCACATGCAACATCAGGTTGGGCAGTCATGCATAAATTCTGACTCATTTCCGTTCCCCATTTCCCGATGCTGAACATGATTCATCCCCACTATATGGACTCATCAGCTTGTGTGACTCAGCTGTTGTTCAGATTAGAGTATTATTTATCCTCTGTACTGCGGCAATAAATAGGAAAAAAATATTTTATGTTTGGATTTCTCATGTATTAGGTGATATGCAGACATAGGATAAAGAAGCTAATCTTTTTTCCAAATGAATTTGCATTTCAGATGCCAGACAGGGCAGTAGATAAAGCAGGAAAGAAAAGAATGGCAACAAGAAAGTGTCACATACAGCTTTTTAGTCCTTTCATAATGATAGAGACCTTTAGTTTCCAGGGCTGTCCCTCTGTCATCTTCTGCCACTGTATGCATAGGCATATAAGAGAGAGTACTTTTTAAAATTCATGGATTTGTATTTGTACCTCTGTATTGGGCTTCAGGGCTTTGGTTGCTGTGCAGACTCACCAATGAATGTGTGTCTTTTTTTTCTCTCTTTTTCAGGGGGAACAGCTTCCAGACAAAAGGGCTTTTTGGGATGCATTCGATCTCTGGATTTAAATGGACAGAAACTTGACCTTGAAGAGAAAGCTAAAATGACACCTGGTGTTAAACCTGGATGTCCAGGACATTGCAGCAGTTATGGTAACCTCTGCCATAATGGAGCAAAATGTGTGGAGAAGTATAATGGTTACTCCTGTGATTGTACCAACTCAGCATATGAAGGACCTTTCTGCAAGGACGGTAGGCAGCAAGCTTTGAGCCTAAGTCCTTAGTGGTCTCTGAAATACAGCAGTTTCACCCATGTCAGCTTGGTGTCCCCATGTTACAAGATGTTCTAATATCAGCTATCCCTTCAGCATTTTTTTATCTTAAGCAGCGTAGAACCTCCATTTGTGGACTTCAGTGATGGCCTCAGAAATTAAAACAGTATTAGTTGTCCTATTAAAGGTACCAGCTATATCCCACAATGATCCCTGTATTCAGTTACATATAATTGGCCCAGAAATTAACAAATAGGGATGAAATTTCTCATAACAGTGGTCAGCCTGAATCTGAATGTTTTGTTTGGTTGGTTTTAAACTTCATCCACCTTAACAAAACCTTGAGACCTTTTATTTACAGAGTTTTAGAGCAAAGGTATGGCAAAACGAGGTAGTCTTTTTATGTTTTTTTTTTGCCATTTCTGTGACATCTATCCAAACTTACGTAACAGACATGAAAAATAATCATGAATTATCCAGGAGAAAACTGATTTACCTAGTTTAGTCTCCAGTGAAGGTGCCTTTACTGAACCTTTCTCGTGGCTCATAGGAGATGTTGCCAGTACCAGAAAAAGGAGCAGAGCAAATACAGAGCACCCAATTTAGATAGCAAGTTTTTGGGGATTCAAATGAACTAGCAAAACTCCTGCTCAATAACAGCAAGGTGCCATGTGAGTGTTTTAATTTCCATGGCTGCCCCTCAGCCATCTCACAGTTAATAAACTGTTATGTTTATTAAGTGCGCTGCATCACCTGCTGGTGTAAATCAGTGTAGTTGCACTGCAGTCCACAGAACTGTCCCCAGTTACATGAGCTGACGATTTGGCACCGATGGCATGAGAGGTGTATCAAATAACCATGTAGCGTATTGTTAGTAGATGCTGCTGTAGAGGTGGAACTGCTTTACTGGAGAAAGTACTTGCAGTCAGTCTGTAGCTGAAGATATCATCATCCTGACTTTACCTCACATTAGAAAAAAACTGCTCTTGCCGCATCTGTGTATTTCATGGCCGGACTATGTTGTGTTCATTGAAAACACAAGCATTAGTTCACAGGTTCTTAGCATGCACAGGTAAATGTTTCTCTTCTTTTGGAGCTACCAAAGACAGCTTCACTCACTGGCTGTCTTTGGGTTAGTGTTTTGCTTTAATAATGACTTTGTTTACAAAGGAGACTGGAAAGGACAAATATATTGTCTTTAATGGGGGAGAAACAGAGAATACTGCCTTACAAATCAGCTGTCAGAAGGTGGTGAACTGGGCATTTATTTGTCTGACAGACATTTTGGGCTGTTCCATGTTGTGGAGCTCTGACTCTGGTACTAAAACACTTGAATTTAGAGGCCTCTCTCCATACACAAACAGACTAAGGAACGACACGCTGCTTGTCCAAAGTAAGGACCGGTGGGTCAGGGCATTTTGCAGTACACTGCTTCTGAGGCAGTCAGCTCATTTCCATGCCTGTCTTGGAGATCTGAAAATGCAGTAGCTGAAATTCCCTTGATTTATGTATGTTTTCAGAGGTTTCTGCATTATTTGAAGCTGGCACTTCCGTTACCTATATTTTCCAAGACCCTTATCCTGTCACAAAAAATGCAAGCACCTCAAGCTCTGCCATTTATGTGGATGCTGTCGTGTCCAAGGAAAATATCGCATTTAGCTTTCTCACAGCACATACTCCAAGCCTTCTGCTGTACATCAACACCTACTTTCATGAATATTTGGCTGTGATTCTCTCCAAAAATGGTAAGTAGTCTTGATTTGTTACCAAAGGGAGACCAGTGTAACTGTGTTACGTTTTTTGTGAGAATAGCATAGAATTCTGCTCTGATTTAAATTAATTTCTGTGTCTGCAACTTTATCAACTTTGTGGTGTTCAGTTCATGCAAATGGCCATTACTCTTGTTTATGTCCCTTTATTTGGTATTCAGTGCTACACTTGCCTATTCAGTCTTTGAATAATCATGCTTAATCATGTTGTTGGGGTTTAAAATGTGCTTTGACTTTCATTTGGCAAGACTGTACAATAGCAATTCCTTGCTATTTATTCCACACTGAGATCCATTAGGCCTCCAAGATAAGAGAATGCAAAATACCATGAATGTACAAGAACACTTGGTGGGGAAATATATTATAATCTTATCTTTTGCATTGTGTCTTGGCACACATATTGCTCTTCATGGGTTGTTTCAATGGAATATGGCCAGTACATCTGAATATTAAAGCCAGAAAATGTTACCGTTTTCTGGGTTCACTGACTAAAACATGAGGTGTAAATCCGTTTTCTATTAAAAGGTACATGGCATAGGGACTCTTTGAAAGCATGTTAAGATTTTAGGGGCATAAGGCCTATGTCTTCTCAGTAAGACTGATTCCCGAGTCTTTGCAGTGCTTTCAGAAAACTCTCTCCAGACAAACATCAAGCTAGACAAATGGGGATATTTGAATTATTCAAGTTATCAGGCACTGGAGCAGTGGAAGTGATGAGTAGGCATATTGGTGAGTCATTAGCCTGTGGCAGAAGAATAGAAAATGAATGCTATGTGGTTGAATACGTACATTTGACCAGATGACCCACAGCACTCTGAAGCCTTGCAAATTCCAAAATAGCTAAGCTTTCAAGTACCGTCAAATGAAACTAGTAAGGGGAGAAAGAAATAAAAAGTGTTTTATTCTCTATATGGGCTTTTCAGTAGTTTATTTCCTGGTTATATCATGTGTCTAGCATTCAGACTGGCACAAGATGAGTATCTAAATCCCTGAGGGGCAGCTGGGACATTATCAGCCTGGACCCATCTCCCCTAAGTGGAAGTCACAACAGGGCAGTGGAGCTACTGAGGAAATTCTCTCTCCTCTCCAATCCTAGATTTACATCTCTGATTTGCTCTCAGAGGCAAGTGCTTATGATTTTCAGATATATGAATATTCCAGTGCATAGCTCCAGCGTGGCAGAGGTTAGGCCCTGCTGAGGTGAAACGTTTGAATGCTTCTTAGTTACACTCTGGTTTCTTGATGCCACTCAGGGAATCAAAAATAGCTCTAAAGTGAATGAAAATGTAATACCCATTCAAATCACCTTAACTGCTGCCAGAGTAACGTAAAATGACCTTAGAAACATGAGTCAATTGGCTTTTATTGATGAAATACAATCATAAGTTAAGCTGTAATTGTGATATTCTGGAAGGAGGGACTCTAATGGTGATTGGGAAAGGGGTTGGGGTCAGGATACTGGGATCTCTTGTAGCAGTTCAGCAGGAGCAGAGGTAAGCCCTGCATTTTAACAGCTGTACCATCTGCAGATCTCCACTTTGGTTCTGAAGAAGATAGGGACTCTCAGTACTTCCAGAAATTAGGTGGAGCTACTCGCAGCACACTCAGGCAGTTTAAACAGTGGTGTTTTTCTCAGATCTGTACCTCTGTTTACTTGCTTGTAAAATGAAGATAACAGTAATTTAGGAGGTTGGTGAGATGTCAGGCTCTCAATCTCTGTACTATAACATGTAGCACTATATACAAAGAATTATTAAGATAGCTAGCTGACCTTGGTTAAATCCTCAGAGTTTCTTTCAGGGTTATTCTGTGAATGCTTCTGTGTCATTCTTTCAAGACAGTTATTTCAGTCATGTATATTCTCTGCCTTTTGTCGCAAATGTAATCACTTTTTTAAATCTCGTATCTTCATATTTTTAGTCTTATTGGAATTGAAATTATTCCAATGAAAATAATGTTCAGATATGTTACTCTTTCTTCCTCTAAAAGGTTTATACTTGCCATAAAGTTACTGGACTATGAATACCAATGTCCTTTGTAGCATTAAAAGTGAGTGCAATTTGTTCTCTCTTATTGGCTCATTTTCAAGGAATCTTGCTGAGTTTGACAGTATAGTAGGACCTAAGAAGGTCCCTGCTGGATAACTGATTGGTTAAATAAAGGTTAGGCTCCTGGTGAAATGGAAATGGGCATTCTCACTTAAGAGGTGAGCAGTAATATTCTTTGCCATACTCCCAAGACCCGTTCCACTTGTTAAGAAACTGTATGTTGTGGTTTAAACTGTTCCAGGACACTGTATTACTGTTCCAGGACACTGTATTAGAACAGTGTATGTATACCTTACTACTTTACCTTTCCTAGGTAGTTTTCAAGCTACTACTCATGTACCATGTTATTCCTCTTTTTTATTATCCACAAAATAGGCAAATTATTAGTTAATAAAAGTGACAATTAGAAGAATGTTTCTGGTAATTAAGACTTTCCATGTTAAATAGTTAACATTAAAGAAGTGAAAGTGTCTGCAAGGCTTATTCATAGCTAGTCTATATGTAAAGGGGCTTATATGAAAGTGAACCTGAATAGGCAGCTATGGTCTAATCCAGTCAGGCGTGAAATGTTTCCTGTAAAATCAATTGTTTTCAGTAAAATTAAGAAATAATCACATTTAACCCCAACACACTTTGCACTGTCTGTTAAGTAGATTATATCATTAGAAGATACAGTATGTATTGATTGAAACACTAGAATTGTGGTAACAAAATGATTTATTTAGAGTTACCCAACAGGCCAGTGTCAGGCCTGGGAAAGGAAATAAAATTTCCTCATGCCCACTCATGGCTTCACCCACCCAAATCAATGCTGCTCACAGCAGAAAGCCCTTCCAGTCCTTGGAGCCTTAGAGGGCAGGTGGTTCATAAAGGAAGTGATGACAGATGTTGGGTAACACCATATGTCAATGTAGAAGCTACAGTTCTAGACCTGTATACGTCTGTATACAGATGACCTTCCCCTAGAAAATGAGAGACTCGGTAGTGCCTAGCAGCTAATACTTCTAGAAACAGTTCCCACCCAAAGAGCTTATCTATATCACAAGGTTATTCTTACCTTTGATCAACTGGATCATGTCCTGGCCGTTTATGGGTAAGTTCTAGGAAATTGTTTTTAAAGATAATTTAGGGATTTTTCCCAAAATTAGTTAAAGCTTATGCGTTTGAAAATTGTATGCAAAAACTTAGTATTGTTCTGTTTTCTGCAGTTTTGTCTGTTTTGTCCAGACAGGACAAACTTTTGTACCCATGGATTTTTAATTTGCACATATATATAATGTGTATGTATTAGATGTAGGTGGGTGTGTATATGTATATATAGATGAGCATGTATGTAAAGCTCACATAGTCCCACTGATCCCACATTAAAAAGATTAACAGTACTGTAGTAATTGGTAGTGTTAGTATAATATCAATGCTGTAGAAATTTCTAGTTATAGTATCAATTACTAAGGTACAGAAAATGGGTAAATGTCTCTAATTAGCCTTTTCAGTGTGTTAGTCCACAGAAGTTATTCACATCATGGGAAGCTACTGCCAAGAAGAAAATAGGTTAAATTTTCACCATACATTTTTGCATTTATGTGATTTCACGAACCTGCCAGTACCTTAGTATTAGTATCTTTGTCTTCATCCCTAAAGACAATAATTGACGGGGGAGAAAAATGTTAAGAACGAAACTGTTAGTGCTTCTCCTTTCTTCATCTTCCTTCCCCCCTGCAAGTAATCAGGTAAGATATGAATATGACAAAGTGTATTGTCTAGAAAACGTTTTCCCAAGTCTGTGATTCTCAGTGTTGACTTTCTCCATTAAAACAATATGACTCATAGTCTAGAAATCAGCAGATATACAGCATCAAATAAAAGAGATAAAATCTCAACTATCCTAAAGTGATTGAAAATTTATCTGTATATATTATCTGATCTCATGAGAAACTAAACAATTTGAGTCCTTTTCTTAATTTTTTTCTATCTACTACCTACTGCTGTCACAGTGAGCTCTGTTCTCCATTTCTTTTGGAAATCAAGACTCTGAAATTGGATAGGAGAGATTAAAGTCAAGTTAAAAAGGCACAGATTAAAAAAAAATGCAAATGACAACAGCTTGAGTAATTCTTTTGTTAGGACCGATACTCAGAATACAGTAGCAGGACGTAGATGAACTCCACTACCCTGTTCTGTAAAGGTCAGCTGATATCAGCTGATAACTAAAACAAACAGGAAAAGAAAGCAAAACCTGTAATAGAGGTAAGCTGAGTTAATACTCTGCAAAAAAGAAGGAAATGTCATCAGTGAGAAGGTACTAATGTTGGTTTTTATTTCTAATAAACTAGAAATCTACTGTAATCTCCTTCTGTCTCTAAATCAGAAGCAGACTTTCTGTTGAACATGCGAATTATTCTTACTGGTTTTGGCTTGCAAGTCTGTTAGAATCATAGAATAGTTAAGGTTGGAAAGGACCTTAAGATCATCAAGTTCCAACCCCCCTGCCATGGGCAGGGACACCTCACACTAAACCATATCACCCAAGGCCTCATCCAACCTGGTCTTGAACACTGACAGGGATGGAGCATTCACAACCTCCCTGGGCAACCTATTCCAGTCCCTCACCAACCTAACAGGAAAGAACTTCTTCCTTATATCCAATCTAATCTAAACTTCCCCTGGTTAAGTTTTAACCCGTTACCCCTTGTCCTATCACTACAGTCCCTAAGGAAGAGTCCCTCCCCAGCATCCCTATAGGACCCTTCAGATACTGGAAGGCTGCTATGAGGTCTCCACGCACTCTTTTCTTCTCCAGGCTGAACGGCCCGAACTTTCTCAGCCTATCTTCATACAGGAGGTGCTCCAGTCCCCTGATCATCCTCGTGGCCCTCCTCTGGACTTGTTCCAACAGTTCCATGTCCTTTTCATGTTGAGGACGCCAGAACTGCACATAATACTGCAGGTGA